ATTAATATACATCAAAGTTAATATAATATATTTTTAAAATGAAAATAAGAATATTTTAATTATTATTTGACTTTTATAAATATAAAATAATTAATCAAGCTAGTATGTATTTATTCAACAATATCACATTGATCAAAATTATCATAGAATACATGAATACAAAATTATTAAAAGATAAAAAAATTATAAATTTTATAATGGACATTTATGTATGGAATGTGTGTATCTTAGCCTTTTAGAAGAAGTAAAATTGACATCCATTATTAATGTTAAATTGCTTTTCTTTCGTTCTTTATTTTATTTTATTTTATGATGATTTGTATTCTTAATGTTATATTCAATCCTTATCGGAGGCAAATATGTCTGTATTGAATAATAACCGAGTACTTCTTTGTAAGGATGACGAATATATATGTTTGAAAAATAAACGTGTTTTAAGGTTATATAAAAAATAATTTTAATATAGTTAATGTTAAATAACTAAGTACACTTAAAATATATTTAAATTAATATTAATTATGAATTTATATTTAAATATATATTTTCTATTAGAAAAGGTATGTCCTTCTTCCCAAATTTTTAGTCATTTAAAATCGGTGTACATTAGTATCTTTTTACAACACTAATGTACATTATGAGTTAAAATATATTTAATAGATATAAATTTTGACTAAAAAGTTGTATAAAAATGTTACAATTGGTTAAATCATTTTGCTCTAGTTATACTAGTTAAGATCGAGGATTGAATTTAACATATTCCTTGTGTTTTATATTTTCATGTGAATTTGTACTATAGATATACAGTAAATGACATGTAATCTCACCAAAAATCCTCAAAGATTGATAGTTAATTTTGATTTTGTATGGAATCGTATTTTACTCTGATCTAAACCTTTTGCTATAAAAAAAACATTAGACTATAAAATTCGTATTTAATATTTAATTATTTCAACTTTGTTATATTTTTTATTTCTTATAAAAAAAAGTATGCAATTGATGGCGAAAATGTATATTAAATATATATAAGATTGATAAAACTATATTAATTATATTTTAAAATTATAAAATATCAATTATTTTGAGAAAAAAAATATTTGGGATTAATTAATCTTGTAACGATAAAACGTAGCTTTCACAGTAACATTGAACGAATTAATGCGAGGTAATAAGTATCCCCCCATTGGTTGAAAAGTAATTTTAAACTCTATTGTCTAGCTGTGTCTTGTTGGTAAGGTGACCCATTTCATGCCAGATGTCAGAATTATAAATCCTTCTCCATATATGATTTTTAAATATTAATTATATATATAAATATATTTTCTTAATTTTATTTTTTAAAACCTAAACAAGAACACTCAAGTGATAAGCAATTTTTTTAAAGTTCATTAGTTAAAATTTATTCACAACGTCAACAGTTCAAGCTAGTAGCAATAAAGGTACTCGTAGGTGGAGTGGAGACGGGAGACAAACTCAATATTTCGAATGGCTAGAAATTAATTTTTCATTTATATTAAATGGACACTGCAAACTACTTAATTTACATTTTCATTAGTTATTAAAATTAAAAAAGTTAATGATGAAGATCATACTATATTATAAGTTGTATAGTTAAGGTATTTTGAATCTAACTATCATGTAAAGTGACAAGAGAATAAAGGTGAATATACAATATATGATTTAATGCGCCGACACTACAAGAAATGTTACATATAGTGACATACAAAAAGTGTCACTATAGGTATAATATATGTAGGTATATGTCTATTTGACATATAGTTACACACAATTTTAGTGTTGATTTTGAATGAGATTTAACAATATATTTTGTGTGTCACTATAGTCTATACCTACACTTTTTAATAATATACTAACATACATTGTAGTTATTGTGTGGGTAAAAATAATTTTTAATGACATGTATAGTGTCATTATAAGGTGTGTGTCACTATATGACAATTTTGTTGTAGTGACAGAAAAAGAAAAATCTTCTTATTACGAATGTTGAAATCTTATTTCATTAGAATTATCGCGCATGAAATATTGCCTATTTTAATACTCGTTAAGGTTAAGGGAAAAGAGTGATCTAAGTTTTTTTTTCTAGCATAAATGTTTCGATCATAAGTCTATTAGTATTGTTAGGATCGACAACTTAAGAAGTTAAGGAGAGAAAATGTTTATAAATTACCATTAGTCTTGATTCTTAAACGATATAAGACTTTAAGATATATCAAAATAAGCTTCTCAATTGAGGATAAGGGACAAAAATAACCTAAGCCCTTCCTATAGCGCCAATGTTTCGACCATACTTGTATTGTCCGCATTGGTGTTCGTTGGATTATCATGATTTTGTCATTGAAAATGTGCCTCGGTGGGTTAAAGAAGGAGTATGCTTATAAACTACCCTTATCCTTGATTTATAATTGATATGAAACTTTTAGACATATCAGAACAAGTCTTCCAATTGAGGTTGGCGTAAGCCCTTCCTCTAGTGCTAATGTTCGACTATAAATCTATTGACATCATTAGGGTCATTACATCTGAAGTATTGTTCATTTTGACATTCGTTGAACTATCACGATTTTATCTTTAAAAAAGTACCTCAATGAGTTAAGGGTGTTTATAAACAACCCTCAATCTTTATTCCTAAGCAATATGAGACTTTTAGACATATTGGAACATGCCTATAGTTAGGACCAATGTTTTGACTGTAAGTTCGAGACAAAGGAGTAAGAGTAGCCTAAGTCCTTCCTCTAGAACTAATGTTTCGATCGTAAGTCTGTTGGTATCGTTAAGGTCATCACATTTGAGATATTGTCTATTTTGACGCTCGTTGAATCGTAACAATTTTGTCATTGAAAAGACGTCTTGATGGGTTAAGGAGAGAAAGTGTTCATAAACTACCCTTAGTCTTAATTACTAAGTAATGTAAGACTTTTAGTCATACTGAAACAATTTTTTAACATTGTATTTGGTGGGGTGATTTAACAGAGAATAGAGAGAAAGGAAAAGGATTAACATGATTTAAAAACATGTGTTTCATAGAAGAAATTTGCTAAAAATCATGATGAACTTAGCTATTATGATGACATGTTATATGTTATTTGTGTAAAAGAGGTCACCATAATTAACTATAGTAAGATGCTATTGCATTATGTGTCATGTCATTGATTTGTATCTAAGGGTTCGTAACCAATTGTGCTGGAATTATAATTCATTATGGTCATTATTATAAGTTACTAGTTTGTGTATTAAAAGTCACCATAATCAACTATAATTTATTATGTGACATATTGTTTATAGTTCATTCTAATGTATTATAGTTGATGAATAATCAATTATGTAGCTAGTACAAAAGGATCAATACAACATAACTGATTATACTACAAAATTATATATAAAAAAATAATACAATTCAAATACTACACTTAAACATAGAAAAAGGATAAAATAGTATTTGTTTATATTATTTATTTTTTACACAAATTCTAACTATAAAATACAATTTTTTTCTCTATTTCTCATATAATTCCACTCAATTAAATAATTAAAATTTTTATTTTATTTCTTATAAAATCATTTCTGATTTATTTTCTCTGTCAATTTCTTTCCCTCCCCTCCCAAACAAAACATAAAAGTCATATGAGATGTGTGATATATCTTTTACAAACCCTAAATCCTTAATAAACGGATTCCGTAGTAGGGTATTAATACCTAAGTATGAGTCGAGAGATAGATGCGTTAAAAAAAAGGAAGAAGAAAGTACAGTGATTATCATCTAGTTTCGCGGAAATGCATTTCGTCAATTAATTCACCAATGAAACAGAGAAGAATCTTTTTCAATTTTCACGTCCTCAACTTGGATGTTAGAATATATTATCACCTTTTTTAAGAAAAAAAAAATAGTCCAAGAATTCCGAATGGACGAATCAAGGTTAACTAGTCGCTGAATATTGTTGCGATCCACTTGTATTGGTAAATTGAATAAATTAATATGAATATAGATACTGTAGTAGAAACGTGGATTTCGCCGATGTCGTGCCCCTTTACGCAATAGTTTGGTATAGGATTGCCATGTGGCGCACAGAGAGGTATTCCGCATGAGGTCTCCTCCTACTCTACTCCTCTCTCTTCATACTTGATATTCTTTTTGTTTTGTTTTGGTCACAAGTCATAACTTGTATCTATATTCTCTGCTCTAGATTCCTCATCGTAATGATCTCCCACTATTATACAGCCGGTTATGCATAGGTATAATTAATTATAGATGCAAATTACAAAACGGGTGCCATCGTTACTGGGCTCAACAGACATCCCCAACACTCCCATTACTTTTTTATAATAAAATAACCTTACTAATTGTTTCTTTTATAACTATAATATTTATATTAAGCATTTATTTAAAGAAGACACACACCATCCCTATATCTATTAATTTAATATCGAGTGGCAAAATAAATAAAAAAAATCTTTGATTTGATTTTGTGTAAGATTTTAAATTAGATTTAAGTAATACCATTTGAAAGGAGTAATAATAAAAATGAAATAAGATGCTTAACCCAGGAGAAATTATGACTTAATGAATAAAAGAAATGTAAACATGTCCTTAATTATTTAAGAGTAAAAACTTAAATTTATAACATACTAATAATATAGTTTTTTATTAAAAAAAATAATTTTAATTAACTTATAGAAATAATAAAATGGAATTTTTATTTTGAATTTGTTGAAAATATGTAATTATAATAAAATATTGAATAGATTTTAATTAAAAATAGTTAGTTTTAAAAATTGTGAAACAAAGATATATAGTTTTGTATGTCTCTTTCTGTGTTTCTTTCAGTCCCCCACTGATTTGAATTGATCTTTCTATGTTGCTTTCAGCATGAGAAGTAGTTGATGGGTTAAAATTTTGCGGTGTTGTTTGTAATAGAGGTAGCAGCTAATAGCATATACCAGTGTACTGTAGAGTACATGAATATATATATAAAAAAAAATAGTAAATACCGGCGAGTGGGCACGCTGGGAGTGAGGGGCCCCACTGAAATAGAAGAAAGGTTTCCTTTTGTGGCGATTATATAAGAGAGTTGTGGATGGGTGGCATGTTGAGTTGAGATAATAATTTTCTCACGTATCACTTTTCTACATACATAGCTCACAGTCACAGCTTTGGTTTGTTTCCGAGAGTAAGTGTGTTTTAATTAATTTTGTGTGTGAACTTTGTGTGGGTAATTAATGGTATACTTATGTGTTTGTTGTAAAATTATAGGATTGATATCAGTGGGCATGGGATACGATGCGTATGCGTTTGGGGAAGTGGGAGAAGAAGATATGATTGAGGAGCTGCTGGTAGAAGGTTGCTGGGTGGAAAGGAGTGGGAAGAGATGGTGGATTAATCCGAATCCTGGGTCGGTGAAAGAGAGAGTGGTGGTTGCGGTGGGGTACCTGAGAGAATACAGGAAGAACGGGAATGAGGTGATGCAGATATGGGTTCCGGAAAGGGGAGGGGGAGGGGGAGGGGGAGGGGTTGGGCCAGGGCCAGATGAGTCGGTCTGGGGTGGTTATCCGATGAACATGAACATGAACATGAACATGAACATGAACATGAACATGAACATGAACATGAACATGAACATGAACATGATGAACCGAAGCATAAGGGTTGGGTTTTTGAGATGGGAGGAAGGGGTTCCTTATGGTTATGAAGAGGGCCCAGGATGGATGGGCCTTCCGGTGTTGGAAAGAGGGAGTGGGAAGTGTCTGGGAGTGCTCCACATTGAGTATGAGTATGAAGGTGGTGTGGAGGGAGCAGTGAATGAGGTGGTGGAGGTGTTGACGTGTGTGTGCAAGGCGCAGAATCTGCCTTTGGCACTCACATGGGCTCCTTGCACCCAAGCCAAGTGCGGCTACGGCCACTCCCACTCCAATTACGTCTCCACTGTCGACAGAGCGTGTTTCGTCGGAGATGCGCACTTGTTGCCCTTCCATGAGGTCTGCTCCGACCATCACCTTTTGCGGGGACAGGGAATCGTTGGAACGGCCTTCACCACTGCCAAGCCCTGTTTCGCCACTGACATCACCGCCTTCACCAACGATGAATACCCTTTGGCTCACCATGCCTCCGTGCTGGGCCTCCACGCTGCCGTCGCTATTCCTCTGCGGAGCGTCTCCACGGACTTTGTGGTGGAGTTGTTCCTTCCCAAGGACTGCCTCCTGAGGGAGCACCAGAACCACTTGCTCAACTCCTTGTCCCTCCTCCTTCAGCAAGCTTGCCGGAGCCTCCATGTTGTGACGGAGGATGAGTTGTCGTTCCCATTCCCGCAGGTTGTAGAAGAACAGTCGTGGATCGCGAACATGATGGAGGCCCAGGCCCAGAAGGGGAAAGGTGTGTGCGTGTCTTTGGAATACCTTGAACTGGAAGAGCCCATGGAGGAGTTCAAAGTGACAAGCAACTGCAACTGGGACAAGACTCCCAGTTATGTAGAGGAGCAGCAGGTGTTTTCTGATTTTATTGCACAAGACTCCCAAACTCACACTCACACCTTCAGTGCCCGCCGTGGCAGAAAGTCCGGTGAGAAGAGACGAACCAAGGCGGAGAAGACTATCAGCTTGCCAGTTCTAAGACAGTACTTCGCAGGAAGCCTGAAAGATGCGGCAAAGAGCATTGGCGGTGAGAACTGAGAAGCATGTTAATGTTATTAGATAATTATTTTCAACTCTCTCATTCATTGATCATTATATTAATCGTTGATGCAGTGTGTCCCACAACTCTGAAAAGAATATGCAGACAGCATGGCATAACGAGGTGGCCTTCGAGGAAAATAAAGAAGGTAGGGCACTCTTTGAAGAAGCTTCAGCTTGTGATTGATTCGGTGCAGGGTGCGGAGGGTTCCATACAGATCGGCTCCTTCTATTCCAGTTTTCCAGAGTTGAGCTCTGCTGCTCCTTGTGAGTCGAAAAACAAGAATATTAATAACTCGTTGCATGGGCATGCAGAAAGCCCTGTTGGCGTTGCAGTTGCATTGAGAGTGAAGGCGACTTTTGCGGATGAGAAAATCCGATTCAGCTTGCAACAGGTGTGGGGGTTCGCAGAGTTGCAGGTGGAGATAGCAAGGCGTTTCAATCTAAACGAGATGAGGAGTGTGGTTCTAAAGTATTTGGATGATGAAGGGGAGTGGGTGGTCTTAGCTTGCGATGCTGATCTTGAGGAGTGTAAAGACTTGCATACAGCGTCTCACAACCGCACAATTAGACTCGCCCTATTTCAAGCTTCACCTCCCAATACTTTCCCCTATCCTAGCCCTTCAACCTAGCTACGCCTCTTTCTCTTTCTTACTACATATATATCATCTATCACATCTCAACCATTTTATTATTTATATCTATTTCTCCTTTCCCACTTCAAATGCTAACAATAACACAACCCATTATAATTGCATATAAAGAAATCCATAATATCACATTTTCGCTCCTAATTACCTCACATATAACATATTCAACCTTCTCCATCAATAAACTCTAAATTTAGATATGCTGAAAATTTGCAAAAAAATTAAAAAAAAAAAACTAGTTAACAAATAACAGAGAGCAAGACTTGCAATTCTTCCAAACATAAGGCAAGGTTACTCATCCCACTAATAGAATGAAAAATTGGTTCCTTGCACTTTTTCTCTTATTCTGGTCCAAGAACTTTGTTTCATATCCTAGAACATCTTTTCAATGCAAAAACTTGCATTTTTAAAGATACATTGATTTCTATGCAATCACAATGATCACAAGATAGAACACTGAATCCATAATGAAATCTTCTACAACTTACTACCTTTTATGATTCCAATATGTTGTAGAAAGTGTCCAATACTATTTAATTACAAATTAGAGTATAAATCCCATTGACAATAACATTTTTGTCATACATGATACAAAAAATAAGCATCAAATAATAGATGCCGTTGTCTCAAAATTCAAACCACAAAATAAACAGGCAAAATCAACATCTTCTATTAAAACTCTAAACCCTAAACAATTCATCATGGATAATATGCTTTACAACATCAAACTTAATTCATTAGATAATAAATTAATTAATATAGTTATTGAAATTGTATTGTTAAACTCGAGTAATTAGCTAGTAAATTTGAAATGATTTGAATTTGAATCAAAATATAATTTTTTTAGTGAACTGTAAATTTAAGTTATCAAATTTATACCGCATACTAATAGAGTGGATGTAAAATATGAAACACGTCATAAATTGCACGGTTAACTTCATTGGCTACTTTGTTAGAACATATTTTATAATAAAAAATTTTAAGCGTGAAAATAAGTAAAGACAAGTAAAATTTGTTTAGTCTTATGTTATGTTTGGCCAGCTTTTATATTTCACTTAAAAATAAAAATTAAATTAAAGCTAAAAATAAGAACTTAAAAAAAAGTTGATTTTAAATTTCAATTTAAAAATTCCTTCTAAGGTATAAGTTATTTAATATTTAAAAAACCTTCAAATTTAAATTAAATAAGTTATCTCATCCAATGGAAAATTATATTTATAAAATAAAAATATCATGTAAAAATATTTTAACAACAACAACAATAATAATAATAATAAATAAATAAATAAATAAAAATATTGCAAAAGATATATTTAATTTTTTTAAAATATAAAAAAATGACTTAACTAATAAAAATTTAATGATATGAAAATAATATATAATATTAATTAAGAAAATTTTAATTTTATGATAAATGGTACAATATTTAAATCATCATATATTGTTCAATAAAATTTTTAAAGAAACAAATAATATTTATGTCAAATTTAATAATATTAAATTACATTACAAAATATTAAAAAGTATTATATATGTCAAAATACTCAATAAAGTAATACACACTTCACGCAGTTATACATAATATATATTATTTTTTTTCAAGAGACAAAAGAGCTAACAAGAGTTGAGTAGGGATGGTAAAAATACCCGCACTCACGGGTATTTGCGGGTAAAATCCGCTACGAATAATAAATGGATAGCCTAATTGGGTACCCGCGGATAATGAGGACGAATAATTTTTTACCCGTTTATAAATGGGGCGGGGGCGGGTATGATGATATCCATACCCGCGGATACCTGTTTAATAATATTTCTTAAATATCCTAATTATCCTTGTACCACAAAATCCTAAAACTACACTTTCTCATCTTATTTTCCTACAAAAGTGAGGTTGATAAAGTTACCAACATGTGTTAAGCATGTTATAGAATTATGTTAGATGTAATTTGATTAATTTTCTAGCTTTGATTGGATCAATAAGATTTATATATTTTAAGTTGTTTAATTTTGTTTGGAATTATGATATTAAATTATTGTAGCTTTGTGATGAGACTTTAACTTACTTGTGCGATTGATGTACTTTAAGTTATTGATTATCTTGCATTTTTGTTATTATTTCAACAAAATTAATGTTAAATACACGTTCAAAATTAACACTAAATTTTTATTTTTAATATTTCAATGATATTAAATATAAACTTAAAATTATTTATAATATGATTTTTTTTAATTTCTTAAAAAAATTATAAATATTCATGGATATCCGTGAATATTTAAGAAATTCATGGATACCCGCGCAGATATGAGGTGGATATGTGGTCAATTTTCATCCGGCGGGGCGGGGGCGGGCATTGTCATCCCTAGAGTTGAGTACTAAAAAAAAAAACTTTGCTTAAGTTACTTGAGTTAGCTTTTTCAAAAACATTTTTATTATTTCTTCACAAATAATAAACTACTTATTTTCTTAAAAAAAAAAAAACTTTATAAATTATTTGACCCAACTTTCACTTATAAGTAAAAAATTTAAATTACAAATGAACTTAGCTCAACAGACTCTAAATGTTAGGATTAATTTTTGTGAGATAAAATATGTCTTTAGTTTGAGCTTCCAAAGATCAAAATTTTCACCAGTAAAATTGGTCAAGGGACAAATGAAAAATTAACGATATTGGAGGCCATAGATCAAAGAAAAATGTTTATATGTATAGAAGAGAATTTTAGAAGTAGTTGGGTGATTTTTCTACGTCCAGTAGATGAACGAACATAGTTCTGGTACCACTGTTAGTATATGATAGTTGTCAAGGGAATAGTTGGTAGAATAATAGAAACTTATTTGTATTTAGAGAGAAGTAGTAGTGGTGGTAATTGTTGTTGTTGTTTACAATGAAGTCTATTGATGTGGGACTTAAAGTTTTTTTAAAATATTAAACTTATAAATTTAAATATTTTTTTGATTTTTCCTGCATATTAAAATTGGCAGGAAAATCTGCAGGGAAAGTTACCTGTGAAATTTTTCTATCATTTAGTAAATATTACTTGCGAATTTATTTTTGCAAGAAAATCTGCAAGAAAAAAAATAAAATTCTTACAATATTTTTTTGCAAATTTTTACCATGGAAAAAATTTTCTATGATCATTAAAATTGTAGCAAAATTTGCAAAAATTTCTTGTAGATTATTTTTCATAAAAAAATTTGTAAGAAATATCTGTAAATTATTTTTCGCAAATAAATTCGTAAAAAAATTTGGTGAAATTATTATTGCAAAAAAATTCGCAAAAAATTTCTATGAATATTTTTTTGTAGGAAAATTTGCAGGAAAATGACACTTTTCTAGTAGTGGTATTAGATGAGTTACACATTTTCAATCCTATTTCCTTTTGTTTTGTTGTGAACATATGTATCGTAGTTGCTTCACTTCTGTTAAGCAAATACAATCATAAACTAGTAGTTGAGGGGATTTTACGATCATTTGTAAGAGTTCTCCCCTTTGCATCTTGAATTTTCACCTAAAACACATGTAGTTCTCCAGATCGTCATAAGTAGGTAAGCTTGTCCAAAGTGTAGTGTATTGTCCGGTGTGAAAACCAGTGGAACCCCATTGTATCTTCTGATTTTAAATAGTTGAATGATTTAGAGAAGAATTGGGTTTCATTAGTATTGGTTGGTGAGTAAATCTACTTTTCTAGTTGTTGTTCTTAACAAGGCGTAGTAAAAAATGACAAGAGTGTATTTATTCTTGGATTTATCTTAGATTGAAAGGATTTGTTGTTTGTGATTTTTCAGGTTGTGAGAAGTATGAAGGTGGTGTTTTTTGTTGAGCTTCTAATATCCTGAAATTTGTTGTGTATCTGTTCTTTGTAATCATGATAAACATTTTTTTAAGTGGGTGGTTAGTATACTAAAATAAAATTTATGGATTGTTTTTCCATTTTTATTTTATTTTATTTATATTATGTAACGTGTGTTAAAATAGTTGTATTCAGTAAATATAGAATGTAGTCGGTTGTAAATATTAAACCGAGATCATTAGTTTAGTAAGTAATTGCTTGTTGTATATGAGTAACATAAATAAAGAATGTGAGCCATTTGTTAAGTTGGATGATGACAATAATCTAAATTTTGTTAACAATGATAGTTCAAATGAAAATAAAATTGATATTGATGTTGATAATAAGGAAGAGGATGTTGATGTTGAAGGTAATGATTTTGAGTACAAAAGTATCCTTGATTTGAATATAGAGGACATAAAGGGATTGAAATTTTCATATGAGCATAATGCATATAAATTTTACTTGGAATATGGTAAATTCTATGGTTTTGGGATTAGGTAGGATGACATTGGTCATGATGCAAATGGTAATAACTTTTGATAGAGGACCATTAGAGATGAGTTCACACATGAAGACTATTGGACCTTTAATTAGGTCTATGATTAGGAGGCTGGAGGAGATTTCTACAGAGGAGGTTCTTTTTATACCTATATTCTACATGAACATTGAGTATGATTCCTCTTATTAGTTTCTTACTCTCCATTGTATAGTACGTGTAAATAGTAGATACTTGTATACGTATATTTTTACCTTTGTATTTGTGAGACACCTTTTTCTTTCTTTGTAAGTCATATCCTTAGGATTCTAGGGTATGATACTTGGAGACTTCTGTTTCATTTGACCTTGTATTAAGGGTCATTGATTTTCTTATTTTTAGTTTTAGAAGTTGGTGGCAATAATAAGTATGTAGGTGAAGCTAGTAATTGAGCCTTTGGTGGGTCAAGGCCAAATTTTACATATTAGACTTGTTTTTCTCCATTTTTTTTCCAAGGAATTGATTTAGCTAGGTCTCTCCACCATTTGGTGAACCTAACTAAACCAATTCCAAGATTTTTGGGTTGGATTGGATGTAGGATACAAGCCTTAGCCGTCTAGCTCTTTCCATGGCCGAATTCTATTTAGCTTCTCCTACACACTTGTCCCGAAAATTTCTGATCTCGGACCTATGATTTAGACATCCTTTCGAAATTCTCATCAATTAAGGAATGCTCGGACACCA